TTATTTATCACATCTGCATATATTGAAAACCCAGCAATGTTACAATTTCAAGTTTCAGTTATCAATTATATTTTAAAGAGTTTAAGGGAACGATAGTCTACTATATTTATGCAGATATTTACTATTTATTTTAATCTTCCTTTATACCTGATATTCTAAGTGGTCTTCTGGTATTATTTTCTTTCTTTTGGAAGAATTACTTTTATAAAGAAACAGATCTGCTGAAAATGGATTCTCTTAGTTTTTCTTCACTGAGGCCATCTTTGTTTTAGCCTCAGTGTTGAAGAATATTTTTACTGGGTATAGACCTCTGGGAGTTCTGTAACTCTGAGGGTCAAGAAAATTCTTTCAATATGTTTTGTTGAGGAAATTATCTCTGTATTTTTACCTCTACATAATACCCTTCATATTCTTGAAGATCCTTGTTTTTAGTTATCTTTTTCTCATATTGCATGATTGCCAAAATTTTTAGTATCTGCTGCCACTCCTTTCCAGGTAATATGATAAAATCGTTAAACAGAACCTGGCTTTGTGGATAAATTTCTGTGAGAACTCAGTAAATATTTGGCTTTAATTTTCCTGTCTATAAAATAAAAAAGATAACATTATATATATATGACTGGTTTGACAGCAATATCTTTCAGGACTTTGAAAATATTAACTTTATTGTCTCCTTTTTTTTCTCTTTCTTTCCTTCTTTTGTTTTTTTTTTGTTTTGTTTTGTTTCGTTTTGTTTTAGAGATGGGCTCTTACTCTGTTGCCCAGGCTGGAGTGTGGTGGCACAATCACAGATGACGGCAGCCTTGAATTCCAAGGCTCAAGAAATGCTCCTGCCTCAGTCTCCTGAGTAGCTGGGACCACAGGGACACACTACCCTGCCTGGCTAATTTTTAAAATTTTTCGTAGATACAGAGTCTCACTGTCTTGGACTTCTGGGCTTAAGCAGTCTTCCCACCTTGGCCTCTGAAGATGTTGGGATTACAGGCATGAGCCAATCTAGCCATTTGAATCATTGTATTATGTTAATACATATGTTTCACTTTGTTTTCATTTTTATTTGGCTGCTTTCAAAAATTTTTGTTTCGTATTTACTTTTCTGTCATTTTTAAAGGACGTGTTTGGGCATGAACTTTTTGGATTTATTCTTTTTTTTTTTTTTTGTTTTTTAGATGGGGTCTCACTCTGTCACCCAGGCTGGAGTGCAATGGCACCCTCTCAGCTCACTGCAATCTCCGCCTCCTGGGTTCAAGCAATTCACGATTCTCCCACCTCAGCCTCCTGAGTAGCTGGGATTACAGGTACCTGTCATCATGCATGGCTAATTTTTGTATTTTTGTAGAGACAAGGTTTCATCATGTTGGCCAGGCTTATCTTGAACTCCTGATCTCAGGTGATCCACTCGCCTTGGCCTCCCAAAGTGCTGGGATTACAGGTGTGAGCCACCATGCCTAGCCTTTGGATTTATTCTTTCTGGGACTTGTTGAGCTTCTTAAATCTACAAGATTATATATTTTGCCAAATTAGAGAAGTTTTCACTATTATTTATTTAAGTTTTTTTTTTTTTTTTTTTTTTTATGCAGTGTATTATTTCCCCTGTCTCTGGGATGCTTATGACACAAATGCTAAACTTTTTCCTACTATCTTATAGTTCTCTGAGTCTCTGTTCATTTTTGAACTTTTTTTCCCTTTATGTTGAGGACTGGTTAATTTCTATTTATCTATTTTCAAGTTGACTGGCTCTTTCCAATGTCATTTTATTCTGCTATGCATCCTTTTCAGTAAGTTTAAAATTTTTATTAGTTGTATTTTTTGGTTTAAAACTTCAATTTGATTATTCTGTGTGTTTTCTATGGTTTTACTGATGCCTTCTATCTTTTCATTTATTTCAAGAGTATTACTCTTACTTCTTAGAGCATTTTTACGATGGCTGCTTTACAGTCTTCATAAGATAACTCCAATATCTGTGTTATCTCCTCATTCACTTCTGTTGACTCTCATTTTCCATCTGAACTGAGAATTTCCTAAATTTTTATATGCATTTCTGTTATATTTTAATTATATTGAATATTATCATATGAGACTTTGGGACTTAAGTAAATCTTATGACGAATATCAATATATTTACTTTAAAAGGCAATCAACCACATGAGTTCAGGCTGACAGTCTCATCAGCCTTCAGTGGATGGAGTTTTAGTGCTGGCTACATTTTCGGTGCCTTCACAGTGCTATTTGGATCTGTCACACGTGGGATCCACCCTATGGCCAGTTTGGTACTTGGATGGGAGTATATCCCTAATTATAGTTCCTGAAGCCTTTGGTTTGCTGTTTAGTGTCAGATTTGGTACTTGGATGGGAGTATATCCCTAATTATAGTTCCCGAAGCCTTTGGTTTGCTGTTTAGTGTCAGATTCACACATATGCAACTTGTGGCTGAGCTTGGGAATTCCTAAACACCTGTATGAAGTCCAGTTCTCTTTCCTGAGTTCCTTCCTCTTTGTGATTACCCTTGCACTTTCAGGCTTCCTGAGGCTCTCTTTTTGGTTCTATGATCAGCAAGATGGGGTTTCATGTGCGTTGCTCTACTATATACTTTCTGTAACATGCCTGACAAACTGCAGAAGAGCAGAGAGACGAAGAAAGTAATAGGGAAAGATCTCCACCCCGTTGGAACCACAACTCCTCTGATAAGAAAGGACGATTCAGAATTTTAGACTTCCATGGGTCCCCTCTTCCACTACTGTTGCTGTCACTACAGGCACGGGGGCCTGGGATGAGGGGAATAAAAAAAATAAGAAATTAATGAACAAAAATTTAAAAATGGGAGATTTTCCCCCACTCTCTCTGAATATTAGGATACTTCATTCCTGCTTCTCCATACAGAACTAGAGGGATTCTCCTAGAGCTCTGTCTGTCTGCATGGATCCCTGTTGGTTTCAAGCTTCCTTGATTCCATATTGGAGACACCATAAGAGAAAAGATGGTAAATCCATTCACATTCCCAGTTCGATGGCTGTTCACATTCTAATCCTTTTTCCTAGTTTACCTGCTACCAGTTATTTTTCATAGGCCCTGAATAACTACTTCATGCATTCTGTTCAGGACTTACAGCTGCACATAGTGAGAAAGTCAGTGTGAATGTGCTTGGTCAATATTTCCTGAAACTGGAGCCATCTCTAGATTTTAATCTCTAGCAAGCCCCTTTCCTCCACCAGTTACAACTCTAAGTTCAGCATAATTTGCAGTTCATTCCACCTGTAATATATTATCACTTACAAAAATGCAATAGGGGGGCCAAGGGCTGAATTGAAGAGTAAGATAAATTTCAGATGCAAAGCAGACAATTGTCATAAACTTCTCATAACTGAGGGGTTCTATATAGGGTATAGTAAGGTAGAAATTATTCACTACATATAAAATAGCTTTGTTAGGAATTAACTCATCCTCCCCTGTTGTTTTTTCTCAGGATGCTTGATTTAGAACAGTCTTAGTGTTCACTTTGACCATCATTTATGTACATAAAGTTGTCATGTATTTGAGATACTTGTTGGGAGAAATTTGGGGAGTATTGCATCCTGATTCCATTCAGGATTCAGTTCTTCTAGGAATAACTTTGATTTTTATTTTACTTTTTGTTTTCTTTTCTGTTTTTCGCTATCACTTTATCAGATACCCAGCGCATTTATTCTCTTCCTTATTTTATGGACAGAAAAATAAAGGCCAAAGATTGACTGAATTCTCTCAGAAAATTATAAGCCAGGTTCTGTCTAGTGATTTTATCATGTTACCTGGAGAGAAGTGGTGGCAGATGCTGAAAATTTTGGCTTCTTATTTCCATTGAGATAACATCTCAAATTTATCCTAGCCATCCATTCATCCGAAGTAGGGATAGGTGGGATAGGAGTTGGTGGGGTATTGAAATCGGCAGACTGGTGCAGAACAGACTCAATGAAACTGGCAGAGATTGGTGCAGAAGGGATCCAATGAATCTAAGAGTCAAGGATTTCCATCCTGGAGAGATTCTATTTAATTTAATGAAAAGCCAAGTTAAAATAGATAATCGGGCAAACATTTGATCTGGTTATTTCTGGCCCTGCCTCTGGTTTATCTAGTCTCTATGGTTTAGTGTGTGCATGTGTATCTGAGTATGTCATAAACCCTTGAAATAGGTTGCAAACAAGCTTATTACAAAGCAGGCTCCTATCTGCACTTCTAAGTTTACCTTTTGCTACTCCCCACCCAACTCCCCTCCCAATACATTCTACACTCTAACCTTTCTGAGCTACTTGTGTTTTCCCAGATGGGCTGTGTGTTCCAGTTTTTTTTTTCCCACAATCTTTTGCACCTGCTGTTCATGCTGTTTACTCTCCTACCCCTCCTTCACCTGGCTAACTCTAAACATTGCTCAATTCCTCACATATTTTCATACCCTCTGGAAATCATTCCCTGGTACCTCACACCTATCTCAACAAGAGTTACATTTAATAAACAGAATTGGCTAGCTCATAAAGAGAAAGTCCAGCATAAGACAGCCGTCAGTGTTGTTTGAAGCATTCTGAACATTCTTCTCTCATCACATGGAATGGCAGTTTTTAGTAACTTAACATGACTGTTTTAACTTGAAATTATATCACATGCTTCCAGTCCCTTATATTAAGAAGCAGATATGGGCCGGGTGCAGTGGCTCACACCTGTAATCCCAGCACTTTGGGAGGCCAACGTGGGTAGATCACCAGTGTTCAGGAGTTCGAGACCAGCCTGGCTAACCTGGTGAAACCCCATTTCTACTAAAAATACAAAAAATTAGCTGGGTGTGATGGCACATGCCTGTAATCACAGCTACTCAGGAGGCTGAGGCAGGAGAATCGCTTGAACCCGGGAGACAGAGGTTGCGGTGAGCAGAGATTGTGCCATTGCACTCCACCTTGGGCAACAAGATTGAAACTCCATCTCCAAAACAAAACAAAACAAAAGCAGATATTATCTTTATCTTTTCTGTGCAGAGCGACTTACTATACACCTTGAAGTGCTCTGATGGAAGGTATGGAAACCTCTGAAAGGAAGCCGTCCAAGTAGGAACTGTCAACAAAAATGTCTTGTATGAGTCGACACTGTAAGTTTATAAATCTTTTCTGCATATAGTTATTGCATTGAATCCTGATAACAGCCTCCGAAAGAGGCATATCATCATTTTACAGGTGATGAAATGGGGAGTGATGGAGGATTGGTGCCCTAATAAAAAGCACCTGTCTGGAAGCCATGGCACCTGATGTTTCTGAGGTGTCACAGGAATAGAGTAGAATCACGAAAAGAGAGAGAACCTCCTCACATCCAGCAGCACCACCTAACATTCATTGGCACAGTGGCCTCATCAGCACCTCTGATAGGATCTAACTGTCCCTGTCTTCTTGTTTCCTTCAAGTCCTTCTGGAATCTCGTTTCTGAGATGGGAGTGAAGATACAAAGGAAATCGCCTGAAAGGAGTTAATTGCCTTTGCTTCTGATTACCTTCTTTTTCAAGGGCAGTGGTTTAATTATCGAGACACTAACCACACGCTAGGTTTCCTGGGTGAAAGACTTTCCTTTTAACATGATCACACTGTGTTAATGATACTGATCAGTCCCAGAATACTGCTAAAATAATTGTCTATGAGCAGGTTGCTGTACAGAAATATTCATGAAGCTTAGAGCATGAAACCTCCCAATTGCATACTAAAGAAAATTTTTCAAACCGTAAAATTACTTAGCAAGAAAAAAAAAATACGTTAATTTAAGAATCTATACTTAGCCAGCCCAAAACTACACTAGAAACGTTCCAGAAGTGGCAATTTAAAGAGGTAGAAAATACCATACTTCTCTATGTGCCTCCAGTACCAAATAAAACTGTTCCTATTTACTCTACAGGGCGGACCGGTGCTTTGTAAAGTTTGGTTTCTTAACAGCAGTAAAGGGAGTTCTAATTTGGCTTTAGGTCAACATGCACAAGATTCAGTTTGCCAGAAGCGGCTACTCAGTGACTTCAGACTCTAAACACATGAGGATCTGAGACCCCCACACTAAAAGTTTGGAATAAAGACAGCAGGTTCTAAACTCTGAGTTCAAGTCAAGTGCTAATAGTTAATAATGAGAACCACTCAGGCAAATTCACTTTTCCCAGGTACGTTTAAGGAAGTGGTTCTCACACTTGAGCTTGTGTAAGAATCCCCTGGAGAGCTTGTTAAAACACAGATGGCTGGGCCCCACCCCAGGTTGTCTGATTCACTAGAGCTGGGGCGTAGCTCAGGCATTTGCATTTCTAACAAGTTCCAAGGTGTTGCTGATGCGGCTGGTGTCAGAGCAACACGATGAAAACTATTGATTTGTCTAATGAAGACAGTTGATGCCAAGGACACAGTCATGATTATTTACCCCAAGGAGTTTATTCCTTCATCTGGTGGTCTCCTTATCCCCCAGTGGGCAGATTTCCTACTTCATTTACTTCATTTTGTGCTCCATTTTAGCCTTTTTTTTTTTAAAACCATTGTCTACCATATTAGCTGTATTATTGTCAGTACCCAATTAGGGTATTTTGGACTGTAACAACGGAAACGAGAACTCAAACTGGTTTAGAAAGTTATTAAATGGATTTATGTCTAATAAACATAATTTACTAGCTCATAAAGAGAAAGTCCAGGGTAGGGTAGCCTTCAGTGTTGTTTGATGATGTTATCAAGGACCCATGTGATTCACTTCTGTTTTGTGCTCTGCAAGCCACAGTTTTGGCTTCACGATAAGACTGGTTCCCCTTGTGGTTTTAGGACAATTGCTGGTAGCAATCAAGTTTTCAAGTTGCTTGCTCACATCCCTTGGAAAAGTGACTTCCTGGGGTTTTCTTCAGAATAAAGAGAAGTTTTCCAAAGCCTCTGGCAGGTCTCTTGTTACGTCTCATTGTCCAGAAGTAGGTCACATGCTCAAGGCCAAACCAACCACTGACCAGGAGGAGTGGTTTAACTTTAGCCCAGTCAGGCCTACCCCTGGATTTCAGAGTGGCGTCAAATTTTCCTGTGTCCTGTGATATGCATGATGCAAACCTAAATGAAACTGGCATTCTCTTGGGAAGGAAGAGCAGAGAATGGATGCTGGATTGCAACTAACAGTATCTACTACACTTTCCAGGTAGTTATGAAAGTAGATAGTTTTAGAAAGTTAAAAAGCCATGGGAAAGAAAATATTTTGTTTATTTACAAGGTATGAGGTTTTCCAGGGTGACATTTAGCAAATTTCAGAGAACAATGGAACTCAATTCTGCCACTAGTAAGTAAGTGGCAGAGTTGAGTTTCAAATACAGATATATTTGAGTAAAGGCTTAAGCCACCTCTTTGAACTTCCATTGCCTCATCTTTAAAATGGGGATGATACATAGCTTTCAGGGTTGTCAGGACTATAAAGAATGAGTGCAGGGGAACTGGCATGTAACAGGGGGCTCAGTTGATTATAACTGTCACTGTTTGTAATAATGATGTGTGCATGTGTGTGCACGCACGTGAGTGTGTGTGTGTGTTGAGAACTAGTATAGCAATTGACAATGTTTGTATGATCTCCATTTAGGGGAACAGCAAAGATCTGGTTAATTTAAACTGTTAAACTTGATATTGATCCTTGGCAAAATTCTGTATCTGGCTATATAAAAAATGGAAAATTAAAGAATTCAGCAATGCACAGACAATGACAAGCATCCCCTAAGAAGGGATTATACAAACAGACTTCATTTCCTTTTTGGATACCAAGTTGGTCCCTAGGGAGGCCATGTTCCCCAGAGTATGGTGTGTACACTATTAAAGGCATGTGGCTATTCATTGATGTCACTCACTGAAATTGAGTGAGCTACTGAATTGAGCTGCTATTGGGATTAAATATACCACTGAAAATTCTAATTGTCAATGGCCAAAAGATTGATCCTTTGGACACCTGAATTTTTTTTAAAGAAAGGGATTTCAGAGAGCCCTTATTCTTAACAATAAAGAGAGGGATTTTAGAGATCTCTTATTCTTAACAATTGGTGGGAAGATCAAATTAAAATAAGGAGATATAATAGTTTCATGGCTAGCCTTAAAAATTATCTTGACTAAGTCAAAGAGCAAAAATCTGACCTAAAACAGTTACACTGAAACTGCCCACTTTGAACTCCATGCAGGATTAACATGGAGGCTAGTCCATTTTGTAGTTTGGTGGTTAAAATTCCCATCATGGCTTGGGTTGTCTTCCTAATGAGGAATCGGTCCCTTTTGGTTTGATATTTCTGTTGACTTGAAATATCGGCTGTTTGTCCCAGCTAAAATCTGGTAATAAAAGATTTGAAAAAATTTTTAAAAAGAGTCCTACTGTTAGAAGTCAGCTTAATTAAAAGCTGATATATTTATATAAAATATAAATACATATGCACATAATACATATAAAATATATATACAGACACATATATAAATATATATACTATATATAAATATAAATATATATATATACATACATATACATATATAAATTTAAGTCCTTTCTGTTTTTTCTTTTTAGATCCTGTTTTTGGAAACATTTTAGTGGACTAAAACATCTTTTTCAAAAAAATGAACACATATGTTTAATGCCTCTGTTCATTTCCTTTCTTAAAAATTGTTCTCCCATTTTACTTTTACTCTTCCTACTTCTCCTTCCTCTTTGCCATATTCAGTATTGTTTGAAAAGATCTAGAGAAGACTCAGACGCCTTAAGGAACCCAGAAAAATGTATTACTCATCCCTTTTGTGGAGGTCTTCCGTTTTCCTTGTGAAGATTCAAGAGTGATGGTCTTCGTGATGCTCTGCCCTCTTTTGAATTGTTACCTAATCTCTTTGCTTTTGGGGGGGTACCAGAAATTACGTTATGTTGTGAGAAAACTAAACCTTGGTGTGTGTAATGGTTGGGTAAAAGATACAGTTTTAAAGGTGGCTGATGGAAATTGTTTATGGTAAACGGCCATTACTACAGTGGGTTACTTGTTTCTTGCACATTTGGGTAAGAAAAGTATGGTTTAGGGCCTGGTGCAGTGGCTTACGCCTGTAATCCCAGCACTTTGGGAGGCCAAAGTGGGCGGATCACCCGAGGTCAGGAATTCGAGACCAACCTGGCCAACATGGTGAATGTCAGGCCTCTGAGCCCAGGCTAAGCCATCATAACCCCTGTGACCTGCACATATACATCCAGATGGCCTGAAGCAACTGAAGAACCACCAAAGAAGTGAAACAGTCAGTTTCTGCCTTAACTAATGACATTCCACCGTTGTGATTTGTTCCTGTCCCACCCTAACTAATCAATCAACCTTGTGACATCTCTCCCCTGGACAATGAGTCTCATGATCTCCCCACTGTGCACCTTGTGACCCCCTCCCCTGCCCACAGGAGATAACCATCTTTAACTGTAATTTTCCACCACCTACCACATCCTATAAAACTGCCCCACCCCATCTCCCTTTGCTGACTCCTTTTTTGGATTCAGCCCACTTGCACCCAAGTGAATAAATAGCCTTGTTGCTCACACAAAGGCTGTTTGGTGGTCTCTTCACACAGATGCACATAACAGTGAAACCCCATCTCTACTAAAAATACAAAAATTAGCTGGGTGTGGTGGCTCGTGCCTGTAATCCCAGCTACTTGGGAGGCTGAGGCAGGAGAATCACTTGAACCCGGGAGGTGGAGGTTACAGTGAGCCGAGATCACACCACTGCACTCCAGCCTGGGCGACAGAGTGAGACTTTGTCTCCATCTCAAACAAACAAACAAAAACAAACAAGCAAACAAATTAAAAAGTGCAGTTTAGGCCCTAAAAACTGCTTACTTACTTTTCCCTATTCACTAAAGGGCTCCACCCAAAAGCCAGTAATCTAATGGAGAAGGAAGCCAAATAAAAAAGCTAAAATACTGCTTTCTGATATTTAGCAGTATCTTTTGATACTCATTGTAAAAGAAATTTGCCCTTACAAATGGAGATTTTCTTTAGAGATGGGAACTGTAATGGTTTAAAGTTTACACAACAAACCTTACTTCTCTTCAGATCTAACTTTTGTGCCTTTGAGATGTACATTTTCTACCTTGTTTCACTAGAGTCATGC